TATTATCATTACTGTTCTTTTTGTAATTAAGAAAGCAAGATGCCTTGAAGGCACATCATGTTAAAAAATCAGCAACCATCAAACTACCAGGACTAATGAACTGAAGATTCCATCCCTCAAAAACCTATAATTAAAAGGAATATGCCAAACAGTAACCACAAATATCTTATAAATCCATTTTCCTTTTTTGGTTAAGACCAGAAGATGATCGTTCATTTCTATCTCTGATGGTCAATTCCAATGTCACCAGAAGCAAAAAATGATTATATACTGTAGCTCGTTATGGATGTTATTTCTCCCCATTCTCTTAGTTCCACAATGTATGCATATCGAAAAATCAAAAGATTTTGTATATAACTGTTCCCCACTTTCCTTACTTCTTGTGTCCAGGTAATTTTCTTTCTCACTTTTCAAGAGAACAAGTTTGTAAAAAGGAGACATGGTTGGGCACTGCCATTCCAATTAAGGCTTCTCCTTAAACATTTTGGTATAAGAATCAAGACAACTATTACAGCTGGCTATTGTACTAATTGTGAAAGATGTAAAAAGCAGCTACTATAATCATATAAAACAATAAAAATGGACTTTAATGCAGTACCTGATTATCTGTAGCCCTGCATATGAAATCAAAGAGCAAATCAAAGACGATCACAACCATCATATATAAAAGAAATTTTATACTACACCAGTCCCCATTGGGACATGAAATTAGTGAATCATCAACTGAAGGAGACAATGCGGCAAAGGGGGAAGTTAGAGTTGAACCGAAAAGAACATGCAACAGAATAACTAAACAGAATATAGTTGCACTAAAGCGGGGATGCTTTATATGAGATTTTTCATAAACAATCCAAGGAATATTTCCAGATCATTTGAATTTCACAAATAAAACTGCTGCTATTCCTGAAAAGATTATATCTTGCATTTATCTTGACGGCATAGATGTAAAATTAAAGCAGTGCTATAAATATTTCATATTTAATGACTGTAGCTAAAGATAAAAATGTGTTTAGAGAGTATCCACAATCTGAAACTAATGATGCAAGAGCTGCATCCAAATTTGTGTACTATTCTGTCATTTGAAGCACCCCCAGAAGCAAAAAGGTGAGAAGCACTGTTACGCATGGTGCAAATGGAGCCTTTGCATTTACTGGTACCATATCTCTACCCACACCCCCAACTGCGCTTATTATTAAGCAACACAAAAACATAGATTACAGTACCTTGCCCTCTGTAATAACTCCCAGTGCAGTGGTCCAGTTGTCATGTTGAATGCCCCAGGATAGCATAGCAAGTGAGCACCTGATGTTACAATCAATTTGTCAGCTAATCAGTGAACAGGGCAATAATTTCTAGAAGTGCCAGAACTCTAGACCTCAAGTTGCGATGGGAAGATACTAAAACCATATCAGAATGATGAATAGAAGAAAAACATGTTCTTGGCCATTGCTCAGGGCTGGTTACATTGAAGCAAGATCTTGGTGAGGTGGGCACATTCCCAAGCAATAGCTTCATGAATTGACCACTCTTTTGAAATTGAATTTGTGTACTTGAGCCCATGTGAAGGGCTTCAAAGAGGATGTTTTTGAAAGTTTTTTTCTATTTATCTTTTTGGGTAAGCTCGTCAGTTTTTGAGGCCTTTCCATTAAAAAATGTCATAAGATACTCCCCAAGAGAGAGAGATACTAATAACCTCCACTTACAACCCTATGCATAGGATGTTTCCTTCATGAAATTCAAGTGCTTTTCAATTTGAAAAATAACAACACAGAGAGATTGATAAGTATTTAATCGCAAATAAGGATTCTGGTCGCTGACCCAGTACAAATGTAAGCAAGGCTTTGTTGAGTTAAATTGAGTATATTGCTGCAGAAATCTCATGTTTCTGATTAAGATCTGGCGATGATGCTGGGTCTACATCCATAACTATCTTGAAACTTGTAAATAGAACAGTGACTGTTATCCTATTGTTGAAATATTTATTATTACAAATTTACCACTTAATACTCAATATTATATTTTTGGCCTTATTATGGTATCTATACCAGGGAAATTATTACCATTACCATTGCCGGGCTGACCCTTCTGGTTATGGAACTTAATAGTCTGTCCATTGAGATGATTACATAAATTAATGTTGTAACACTGATAGCAAGATGTTTAGTGATAAGCAGGGAATATCCACAGCTAGAAAATTAGAGTCAATCATCTCATGGGCCAATGGAAATACAAAGAAAACAAACCTCTTGCTGCATATATCATAGCCAGTTCCTGAAACCGAATGTCATAACAGATACCTATGCCGATACGCCCAACATCTGCATGAACCAGTTATTGGTCATATTTCAAACTGGTATGAGAAAAACAAAAGAAACCTGTTTTTTTTTTCCCTCAAGCAAAGGACTAAAAGTAATGGAAAAGAATGAACTAAGAGGGTGATCCAGTGATATAAAGATGAGCAAAACATAAAAGCAAAATCACTGCAGAATAAAGAAAAAAAATATGATATTCTGAAAGCTGCCAACAATTTTCATTAGCCTTTTTTTTTTTCCTCTTTAGCAAATTAAAACACTTCAACACAACCAGATATTAATGTATAAGACATATCAAATCAACAGTAGAAAGGAGTCTTCTAGTTGTCACAATAGTTTAAATGTTCAAGTTGAAAAAGGAGGCTAATCTGAAGAAACTACCATAATTTATTTAATGTTCTCATTGTCAAGCATATCCAGGTAGCACAGGGGCCATCTAGAAAGGAGTCTTCTAGTTGTCACAATAGTTTGAATGACAAAACAGAATCAAATAAAAGCCAGCGACAGAAATTTGGATGAATCACGAAAAATACAGATGAAAAAGCATACAAGAGTCTGCCATTAGATAGAGATGGACAACTCTGGAGGAGATATATTGTAAGATATTAACTCAAAGAGAACATCAAACCTGTATCAACAATGGTTGGAGTCTCCCCGGCAGTAAGAGTCTTAGATTCCATAAAGGTAATCTTCCCAGGAATGTCAATATCAAAAAGGTGTATCTGTAGTTACACAGAACAGCAGAAATTGCAAATCAGCAACAAAAAAATATCTTCAAGAAGATACTACTTAATACAGATTCTTTTCCAAATGCTTAGCATCTAGTATTCAACAAAGACACCTCTAACTGGGAGCTATCTTCTTACAACGGAAAAAAAAGTATCTAAAAGCAGAAATTAGGAAACTTAATATAACAGAAACCAACTTTGGAGATTATGAATAAAATTATACAATAATATCCAAAATATTAAATGGCTTATTACTTTCTATCATGTGTCAGTTAACATGGTATATTGACATCATCAACTTTCTTAGATGCCTCTCTGCAGGAAATTTTAATTTGTGAATCCAGCCATTTGGTCATCAATCCTATCTTCTGGAATTACAAGTTTCTAAACATATATCTAACAAGATAAGCATATTCTCTACAATAACAAATGGCATCCAAGGTGAGCATCAAACACTACCTTCCGATGCTTAGCTTTCAGTTTTCCGTCAGAACCAAATACACAACAAGTGTTGTACAACCGATCCCCAGAACGTTCCGGTATAGAACCACCAACAATTGTGATGTTCAGAAGACGAGAAGTTTCAGCAAGCATAGCCGTAGATGGTGATGCATCACCACCCGCATCAATGTCCTCAGCATAAACTGGGAAGGAGTCATTGGAATATGGGCTGTTCCAAATTTCCTGAAATACAACAATCGAAGCCAACAATGTTGATGATTGAGAAATTATAACACCCACAATTCTCCTCTAAAGCCAAAATTAACCAAATTAAAATGGCGGTAAAATAGTAGAACAAACGCATATCATATGTAAAATAAAAAAAATGAAATAAAGAAAACAACTCACAGGCAAAACAACGAGCTTGGCACCCCTCTCAGCAGCCTCTTGGATGGCAGTGCGAGCATGCGCAATATTCCTCTCTTTATCGGCCGTCACAGATAATTGGCATAATCCAATCTTGAACTACAAAAAATCAAAAAATAATTTCATTAATCAACACGATTAAATTCTTCTAGAAAGTAATAAAAAGGAAGAAAGAAAGAAAGGAAAAATGGGGTTACCTTGGTGAGTGGAGGAGTGGGCAAGGGAAGAGCAGGAGGGTTCCTGGCTTGTTCAGGGTTGAAAGAAGCAGCCATGATTGGAGCAGAGGTTCGTGATGAATAAGTGCGGAGGAAAGAGGGCGGGCGAGAGTGAGCGTGAGCGTGAGGAATGGATTTGGCGTAGAAAATAGAGGAGGAGCGAGGGAGAGGAGAGTGATTGAAATTGAGAAGAATCTTGGAGCCCAGAAGTGAGGAGGCAGCTGACTTCATTTCACTTTCACTTTCACTTTCTCTACCCGTTAGAAGGTGTCACAGATAGGGGGACTTGGTCCATCCATTTTCGCACGATTTCATTTGCAGGGGCCACGAGTCTACGCACCGGTACACCAACCCAACACGAATCAAATGGGCTTACCACAACATGTTTGGACCCATGTTGTTGGGCATAATGGGCTAGTTATTGATAAAAAAAAATAGTACTGTTATTTGATAGCTTTTTTAAATTTAAAAATATTTTGTATATACAAAAAATTACCAACACTGATAATTTTTATTTAAAATATATAGTAGTTTTTAAAATTTTGTTTAATCTATGTTTTATTTGCTATTACTGATTATCTATGAACGTTCGACAGCAGGTGTAGCTACCATAACATGGAATTCATACCACCAAATCACCACTCGCAAACATATTCAAAAACTTAACCGTCTATTTCACAACGGAAATTTAACTGTTTCTCTCGCGCCCCCTCCTGCCATACCCCCCCTTTAAACTCTCACAATTCTGATTCTTACAATCACTCGATTCATTCGCACCAGTGGCGGCGCTTCACTTCATTGCGCCGCCGCCATAACCAAATATCATCATCATCATCATCAACAGAGCTTCACTCTGAAATTTATATAACATCTTATGCATGGCAGATCCCAGGTCCGTTGTCCCCTACCATGATCCATATGATGCCTCTTTCATCGATGACATTTTGTATTACATGAACAATTCAACTCCTACTGTTGACGATTTATCACTTCTTGAGGATCCTTCTTTGCTTCCATCCTCAAGTAATCCTGGTAACATCCAAGATGCTGATGATCCTTTTGGTGATCCAATTTTGTGGGGTATTACAAATAATATCAATGGAGGGAGTTCTCAGGCGGGTCCTTCAGAATATCGCGCCGAAACGAGTAATCAAGGATGTCCTGAGAATGTCAATGGTGGAAATATGAGGACAATACCAATGTGGCCGGTGCCAGCCGTGCCATATTTATGTAGTTGTTGCCTGGTGCTTAGAGAAATTATTCATACTAATGGTACATGTTCATATACTTTGAGAGGTAGTTTTTGAAGTGAAAATTAACATTTGTTGCTCAGTTTAATTTGGTATTGATGGTATAGGGTATGAAACTACAAAACTTGAGATTCATGGAAGACTTGGAATGATCTGTCATGCTATTCTTGCGATTCATCAAAGTTTGGCAGTTTATCGGTATCAAATGATTGAGTAAGTTACTATTTTAGTCAAAATATATTTCAATTTCTCTGTAGTTCGGATAGTATTGGGTTGAAGTTTGAACCGCTCTGAACATTTTATTATATATTTAATGATGGGGTTTTTAAACTTATTTTTCTCTTTTATCAGTTTCTGCAAGAAAAGCATGGAGGATGTGAAGAATTATCTTGTTCAATATTGTGACGAGAGGAAACAAGCAGGATTTATCATGTCGCGGGATCCCCTCTCCGTCTTCTATGAAGCCTTATGTGTTGGGTTGGACATGGATGAAAATTTAACAACAGATGACTTCCCTCAACCACCACCCAACAACTCAGGTGCGTCTGTTTCTCTGCCATACAAAAGTCTTTCAGAGTTCATGTTATATATCAAATATTTCATTTGATTTATCAAAAAGGAGTTTCTGAAGAATGTTCAATTCCGTATAGTTGCAAATGAAATGGATCAGCCGGAGGCGGAGAATGACGCTGAAAAGCCTCCAAGGACCTCTCTTGCATTACAGGTTATATAGTTATTCTCTACAGTCATATCAATATCATATCTTCAATTTTTTGCCATGTACATTGATTTTCTAACTTGGGAACTTTCTTGTTGCGCTGGGGATTAGTGCAGAGGGAGAGGACAGGAAAATTGACATTGGAAGACTTAAGAAATTATTTTCATCTTCCAATCGAGGGAGCAGCCAGGAGGTTGAGATTATGTCCCACTGTGGTGAAGAAGATATGCCGTAGATATGGTTTACACAGGTGGCCTTATAGAAAGGTTTTTGTTTCTTACTCAATTCATTCTTCCTTATAATATACTTAATATTAAATCTAACATATATTGGAGTCCTTTTGGCATAAGCAGATCAAGAGCCTAGAGAGGCAGATACAAACTGCAACTCCGAGATTGAATTCAAATGATCCAGAAGACAGGGCAAATGCTAAAGCAGAAATCGAAAGGCTTCGACGTGAAATTGATACTGCATCTGCTGGAAACTAGATGATAATATGTACATTTTTTTTCAATGCTGAAGAACATTGGCTGAAAATTAAAAGTAGGCTGATCAAGTTATTTCTGACGGAAGGAGTGGATATATAGTACTTTTGAAATTCATCAGCAGCAACCATAGTGTTGTCTCTTGTACGATTTTGATTTACTGTTTGTGGGCATTTTATTTTAAATTACTAGGCAATGTAAATTGTAATGAGAACAGCAAGCCATACTTCATTTGTTCACATCTGTTTCCTTCACAATTTGCAATTTATGTTGCCTTTCAGACTCGATAACAAGTGCCAGATGCCGGCTATTCTTGTCTCATTCAGCATAAACAAATAATTACACATAACTAGCTTGGCAAAATCGGCCGTCCTATTTATCATAGAAAATTTGTCATAAACAAAAAAATTAGACGCAATTGCTTTGGAAAATCCTTCACTATGACCTCGACGTAGAGTTCTAAAAATTGACATCCTAGAAGAGTTCGTAAAATATTGCGCAGTTCTAGGACCTCCATGAAATCGTTGTTTTTTCAATATAAACTCGTTACATTCCATGGAAAAATATTGTTCTGTTTTCAAGAAGAAAGATATGGGCAGTTTGCAAACACTGGTTTGTGTGAAACAGGTGAAGCAAGAGAAATCGGAAGACTGGGACGAGAGCATGCCATTGCCTGGAGATATTGTTGAAGGTTTTGATGATGTTGATGAGTTGTTTGTTCCGGTTAAAGCGAAGTCGGAACTTAGTACACAGCTTGGCAAGATTAGCCATCTTGTCGATGTCATACTGGTTAAGGTTCGAAGGGGTGATAACATACTTAAACTCCCCGTTCGAGTGGTTCTCGACAGGAATTCGATTCTGCAGAAAAGGTATACAATTACATCTGAATTAGATGAAAGGCATGTTGCAGTTTTGGGGGACTTGACCTTAGAACAATGTACTGAGCTGCAAGGTTGAGTTTTTCGTTTTGTGACTTAAATAAATCATATTTTCAAAGTGCTAATAAATCAACATTGTAAGATGGTTTCTTTCTGACGGTGCAGAAATGAGCAGGAGGGTGGTGAGTTTAGATTATCGGGGATTCAGCAAAAAGGGTGTGAAATATGATTGGAAAATGAAAACGGGTACTTATTTGCCGGACCAACGATGCACGGTTGTTAGCTCAATTTTGTTCTCACCCCTACAGGTTGAACACAATACTGAAGCCACTACAGCAAGATGCATGGCCTGGTTTTCTGCAACAGTTTCTTCAGGTGTTCCTCTTGTGTTTGTCAATATCCAAACAGAACAAATTCTGACCTCGGTACTGCTCCTTTCAACTTGTAATTAACAATTCTTTGATTAATTTTATGAGTTTTTTGTTATATGGTAAGAGGAGAATTATTTATTGTGTGGAAGGTTATAACTTGAAATCAGCAATTCATTGATTAAGCTTATTTATTTATTTATTTGTTTAAATCCTTGTGAACTTGCTCTCTTAAACTCTTTCCTTGAAGGAGAAAACCAATACCACAGGAAAAGAAAAAATAAGTAAGGGAAAGCAGCAAAACAACACTACAACAATGCAAATAGTGCAGGGAATAAGACTATGGTTTCTACCAGGTGTTTCCGAAGTTTTACTTGAAATGTTTCCAGAACTGGGAGAAGCTCGATTTGGGATGGATATTAAACGGACTGAAGAGGTAACACTGTTGCACCTCAAATTTTCCTTTGTATACTTTGGTTTTCATTTTTTCTAGTATGTGAAAGGATCAGTGATTAATCTCTATTCTTATATCTGCAATAACGTGTTCAGGGCTTCATCTGTGTGTACTCAGTAGCAAAAGGGTCAGCAGCTGACCGTGCAGGAATGCGGCATCTATACGAAGAAGCAAATGCAACTGGGCATTTACTTGTGATCTCTCGTTTGGAAGGCAAGAGCTTAATGCCTGCTAGTGCTAGCTCTGATGGGCTCTTACACTGTTGTGATCATAATGAAATTAGGGACACCCTCATAAATGCAATTTATCGGATGGATGGAATTCATGTCCACATTATGGCCTGGCCTAACCGGACTCGCCCTGCCATTACTCGAGCAATTGATGCTGCAGCCCTCCTGCCTCCTAACTGATTGGATCTAATTATCATCCTTCTTCACTTTAGAAATAATTTGGCATGATTTGACAAAGAGTTCCATAATGTTTTAAAGGAAGACAAAGCGCTACTGGTATGAAGTATCACAGAAACTTTGACAGAGATGGCATGAGAGAATAATTTTCTTTTTACCAGCTTTTGTTTCCTTTTCAGAATGAGAAGAACCCACGCGTAGTGAGAATTATAGCTCACTTCTTATGTTTTTCTGTTTAGTTGAAGCATGCCCCATGCCTATGCTGGGTAATCTCTTTACTGTTCAACAGACTATATCCCATCTTCTACTTGGCCTTGAAGCTTGACATTTGTCTTCATACCGATTTTAAATTTGTTTTCCTCTTTTGTGCTTGATTGTGCTCTCAATGCCTCACAATAAATCATTGCAATAGTACTTAGAAGAAGAAGAGAGGAGAAGATCTGCCACGTCGTCATGATACCAAAATTCCCTGCTCTCCATTTTGTGTCTCAGGCTTTATGTGCACACATACCCTGCAAAAGACATGCATTCTTGTGCCTTTGCAGAATTAATCAACACCCCCTTTTGTCTTATTTTACCTCTATCTCTATCTCCATCAGTCATCACTAACTTTCCAGAAGACTTCCTATATAAAGAGTTGTTCATCTATCCACCACAGTGACATGCTAGAGATGAGGCTCCAGTGCTCTCTGTTTGTTCACGTCTGCCTAGCTCTTGCACTCTTCTTATCAAACTGCCTAGTTACTGGAACATCCTCTGGCTCTGCCTTATGGCTCAACTATAAGTCCCCTCCTCCTCCATTTCACTACAAACATAGAACACCACCGCCACCACCTCCAAAACCATATTATAAGCCGCCGCCACCACCACATCGTAAATGCCATCATAAATCCCCGACACCTCCTTTATACACTTACAAGTCACCACCGCCGCCTCCAATGTTCAACTATATATCCCCACCACCACCACCTCACCATGTTTACGAGTACAAATCGCCACCACCTCCTCCGCAGCCAAAGCCCCACCACCACGACGACCATAAATGGGGTCCGTACCCATATGTAAGTTACCAGTCACCTCCACCGCCGCTAACACACCAAGAGTATCCTATTTATCATTACAGCTCCCCACCACCTCCGGGGCTGTACTGGTGACTTGTAGAAAATAAATAAGAAACTCGTTTAATGTCTATGTTTGTTCTAGCATTTATTGTTCACTGGTTTGTAAATTGTTTCCTTCTTGTCCCGTTCCTGTAGATGTCTGTGCAAATGTCTTTAAGTATTTGCCAAACTAGTCTTCTTTGTCCCCGCTGTAACAGAAATAAGCTAATTTTCATTTCTTCTTCTGCTTTTTTAACTAAAATGAATTCTGCTTCACCAATCTTACATTCTGCTTCATTTAGCCATTCATAATTGAGATTACCAGTAAAAAGAGTTTTAAAGAAGTATTTGTAGGATTTCGAATCAAGTTTTCACAGATTATAGCTCTCAGACTAACTAACAAATTTCTAACAAGAAAGCAATCACAGATTAATATGCAAGAGACCAACAAGCAGGAAGCATTTAAACTTAGATAAAGTAAAAAAATTAAGATCGACACAAAGGATTATAGTGGTTCGGCTTTAAAGCCTACATCCACTCTTCAAGGCGCAAATAAGATGTCATTTCTATCGAAGTCAACTAGGGAATTTACAGAGTATTGAACAAGAATAAGCAAATGAGCAAGGAAAGAATACAACCTGAAGAAACCCTAGCTTTCTTCCCTTTTCCCCTTGTTGCCAATCCATATCAAATAGAATCAATATATACCCAAGAGTCATCTCCAGGATCAGCCTCCACTTGTATTTGAAGGATTTCCAGCCGTAAGATGAGTAACAGAATTCGTCCTCTCCATTAGCATGTTCTAGAACAAATGAGGAAAGAGAGAGATGAAGGAGGAAATTTAACTCCCCGGACATCCCAAGTTTGTATTTAACAAATGATTTTTTTTTTTTAAATTTAGAAAAGCCGACGTGGCACACTTAGGGTTCATTAAACATATAAAATGGGTTAAACTGAAAAGATTTAAACATATATGGGTAAAAATAATTAATAAAAGTTGTTTAAAATTTGAAATTTGAAAATGAGCCCCCACCCTTCAAAATCGCTTAATCGAAGGTGTTACCCAAAAAACGACCGACGAAGACTATTCCTTTCTCTGCGATTTTCGGCGACTACAGTGCCTAAATTCCGGCAAATTTTTCTATCCATTTTCAATCTTAAAGCTTCTTTACACAAAACCATGGCTGACATTTACAAAGAGGAGGAAAACCCAAACCTACTTTGAATCCTAAACTCTGGTGGTGCCAGCAATTCAGAGGTTATCGAAGACGACGCTCCAGTGGATCATCTGATGAGTGAAGGTGGTCCACAAACAGAGGAGATGATGGCGGCACAAGATCAGAGAGAACAATCGGAAAACGGTTCTGAAGAGGAGGACGTGGGCGAGAATTCAGGCGAGAAGGAGGACGTCGATGAAGAAATGGTACGTATTTTTACTTTTTTTTTTTTAATTGGATGAGAAAATGGATTGATTTGTGCGAATTTGGGGGAGATGTGGTTGTGTCGTTTTGTCGAGCAGTTGGCGGGTATTGGTGGAGTGGCTTTGTTTGGGTTCCAGAGGATAAGGGAAGGCAAGGGAGGCCGTTGGGAGGTTGTTTCAAGGAGTTTGGTGGGCTGGGGATGGCAGGAGGTGGCCGAATTTGGCGGGCTAGAGGGCTGCCCTGCATTGCACTACGCACGCTGTGCGTGGCCAGCCTTGCCAATATGGGCTTGCATGATTGTTGGCTATGATTGTACCAAACAATCATGCAAGCCCTACTATAGGATTGTAGGGGTTGCATGATTGTTTGCAGGGCTGACTATGATTGTTGTGTTAGAAGTGTTAAATTGCAGGGCTGGCTATGATGAATTAGATTTTTTGTTGCTTTATTATATAATGGGAAAATTACTTTCTTTGTTATATTTTGATTGAATGTCAAAACATTAGATGATTGAAGGACAAATATTAAATCTCATTGTACGTTTAGTAGGTTATTATTAGAAGAAAGTCACTACTTTTAGGTTGGCTCACCATCACCACTCAACTTTATACCATAATTTCTAAATCAAACAGAACCAATGAAACCACAAAAAGCCTTTTATTTTTTTGGTCATACACTTGAAAAGATTAGTTGAAAAGTTCATTGTATGATACTTTTTCTTTGTTTACAAAGTATGTTGGCAGCGTATTAGTTGTTTTTTTTTTTTTTTTTTTGCTGATATTTAGTTTATATCGATTGTGCAGATTTTCCGAAGCATAAACTATAAAGACTATGGGTTGGAGGTTGTAAGCGACAAGGTACCGTACTTCCCTGTAAGGATGACAGTTAGGTTGAGTTGGCAAGATTTTATGAGAATAATGGAGATTTTATGGGAACTGAGGAATGGTTTAGACTAATTCAAATAGAGTTGTTTCGGTCATTTTACAAAGATCGGAGAAAATTGGAAAAAGGCGTTCTGGGGTCAGGGAGTGCATTATTTGTTGCTGCACTCAGTTAAAAGCAAAAAATATATATATATATATATATGGTTCGTGGTGGATGGAAAGCCACTACGTTTTGAGATGATAGAATATGTCTTGATGACAGGCTTAAGATGTGGGAAATTACCAAAAGCGACAGAGCTAAATGAAATAAAGAACAGTAGGGCAGCCAAAAATTTGGCTAAAAAGGTTTTGGGGGAGAAAGCGTCTATTACAGGACGCGATTTAGAGGAGAGGTTAGAAGAATGTGGGTATACCTCTTCAAAGAGGTTCAAAATGTGACTGGTATGGTTCGTGCATTCGATCCTAATAGCTTCGGACTCAACAAAAGCTGTTAATATGAATTGGGTGAAGTTTGCAAGCAACTTGGACTTCTTTAATGCTTATCCGTGCGGACAGGTATCATTTACGCTAACCATGGACTCTCTACAAGGAAAAGACATGGCGTTAAAGCAGTCCCAATCTGTCGAGAAGAATAGACCAAGCACGTACAATTTGTTTGGCTTCCCATGGGCAATGCAGGTAAATATTAGAGGTGTTTTGTTATATTTTTTGTATTATATGTGTTTTAATTATGATATGGACTATTTTTTTACAATATAGGCTTGGATGTATAAGGTCGTCCCTATCCTAGCTAAGGCAAAGGGGAGGATAAAGACTTCGAATGAGTGACTGCAATTTCCTAGGATGTTGCGGTGGCACATCGAGAAGTGTACCCATTGGGATTACGAAAAAATAAACATCGAAATTCAAGCAGTTGAGGTAAGATCAAAGGATTAAGCTTTTTAATATGCACTTGCTTTTAAATGTGGCTTAAATCTGATTGATTTTGTTTCTTATTGCAGGGAGTCGTCTGTCCCTTCCTCACCGCTACTAAGGGTGAAGCGGGAGAGGAGTATGTTACATCTTTCGAAGCACTGGAGGATGAAACAGATGAAGGGATAGACTGCCTAATGCAGGACCTAAAAGGGGTCACACATGTGAGTGCAGTTGCAGGGCCACTGCTTGAGAATGTTGTTGACGCCAAGGATGATGAAGCTCCAATCGGTGGGAGGGAGGAGGAGGAGGAGGAGGAGGAAGAGGTTCTTACACCTCAACCCAATTGGCAAACCGGTACAACAAGTATCGCTTTGCTGAGGCGTCAGGGTCGAGAGAATGAGGTGGTTGACCTCATAAACGGTCTGTTTGAGAGTTTTACAATAGCCGTTTATGAGAGGTTTGAGAAGATGGAAGAGCGAATGAAAAGGGTGGAGGAGAGAGTTGATAAGGTGGCAGAGAAAGTTGGTAGGGTGGAGGAGGAAGTTGGTGGAGTATTGAAAGCGGCTAAAATGCAACCTGAGCTGAAAAGAGAGAGCCAAAAGAGTAAGTTTGTCAAATCTCCTTACACTGTAGTAATGTATGGAAAGAAGAGGAAAATGAAAAAAAAAATTAAGAAAGTCCACAAAAGTGGAGAAGCAAAAATGGAGGAGGTTAAGGAGGTTGCTGAAGGAAGTGGGGAAGTGATAATGGAGGAGGGTGAGGCGGGATGCGAAGAAAGTGGGGATGTACAATTGGAGAAAGGGGGAGGAAGTGGGCAAGCGAAAACAGAGGAGTTAAAGGTCGATTTGTATAGGCAAATAGAGGAGGAACAGAAACAACTCTTTTATGTCTATTACAATGAATCTGGAAGTGATGCTCATGTGAAGTGCAAGACCGAGGGTTATCCCCGGGACTGGTTTGAAAAGA